AAGAAATAAAAGAGAAGAAGCTTTCGACCAAAAAAACAATAACAACACAAATCTTTATGAATTTCGTTTGATATTTACAAGTTGTCTGATGGAAAAAGCAGCAATTCACTCCTCGCTACCCAAAGAATCAAATCACTTGTTTAGATACTGTTCATTACCATGTAGCGCAGAGAAACGACTGCCGATTTATAGATAATAACGGTGGAATAACATGAAAGAAACAATTTGCACGATTGTATGCATTTCCCGAATATTGATGTTTGCCGAACTAATTGCGTTGATAATGAAAATGAAGACATAAATGTGCTTATGTGATGTACTGCAAGAGAACGATATTACCTGTACGTCAATGAAAGGGTGACTAAGACTTTTTTACTACGACACGTCTAATATAATATCAAAAACAAATTTACCGTTGCAGTAATGCTTTGAAAGAAATATTGGAGATGAGGACGGACGGTATTGAATATATTTTGTTGTTTATGACCGCAAGTATTGTGAATCAAGTCTTTGTACTTGCCGATAGATTTCTTAAGTTCTTCTTTGCAACATAATCTTCCGATGGATTCTAAATTAAGCTCGATGTTTTTCTATTCCTAGTGACCCGTTGTCGTTGTATAGCAAATGATTCGACCTGTTGGTCGAGTCCTTCGGCTTGGCGAACATTCAATGCTTCTATCAGTGGTCGTCTTGTTCTACCTCATTCATCAGCTACACCTTGTGCTGAAAATGAATTCAATGAATCACTTTGCAATGAAACCATTCGTTATTGGTCGGATTCATCGGGGCGCAGTGACCAAGTTGGTACAATGCAATACTTTCATTGGGAAAATGTATCATGTTCAATAAATAATAGAAATTCGAAATGTACTCAAGGATCTATACCTGTATATGCTGTTGATGCCATATGGCCTGAAAATATTCAGGCAACATTATGATTCGCTTCGACAAATAATATTCATTTAGTAATAAAAACCACAGGACATTATATATTAGGTCGATCGGCAGCATTCGGATCTCTACTTATGTGGCTTCATAATATGAAAAACATGACATTAATTTCACAATATTCATCATGTGGTGCTCCTCCTGTATCGGATGATGTTTGTCTAACGCCGGGCTACAATAGGGAGACGTGTATACATGGTTAGATACATAGAGTAATTGCCACTAATAACGACATTCAAAACATAAGATGTCTTGATTGATTCAATTCTCAACTAGTTTACACTCGATTAAAAATATTTTTACATATGCATAATCTTGGGAGTGTCCTCTTTCAAATGGTGTAACAGTCACTTTGCACTGAAATGTACTGGCCAAGAAATCAGCGGCCTATGATAATGACCTGCTTCTGTTGTTATTAGGGTCCATTTTCCTAATAACGACAGTCAGCTAATTTTTAACCCCAATAACAACACTCTTACAAAATTCAAATGAAAAGGTACTGTTTGAGAAAAACAAGACTTTTCGCGATTTTCATTCAGAAAACAAGCAAAGATCTCGCTGGCATTTTTGTAGAACGTGTCGAAGTCTATCTAAATCCAAAAGTTCGTGAGAAAAAAATCTCTATTTGTTGAGATACAAAGCTTGAAGAATAGATATCCAGAATAGATGAAACAAAAACTGATCCTAATAACAACACTAAGCTATTTTTTGACCCTAATTACAACACAGCTAAATTTTGACCTTAATCATGATGTCCTGCTATTTTTTTTATACTAATAACAACACTAAGGCACTTTTTGACCTTCATCATTATGTCGAGAAATATTTTGATCTCAAGAGCAACAGCCAGCTAGTTTGCGACTTGAATCATAATGCCGAGCTATTTGTTCATCCGAAAACAGCACTCTGACAGGTTTTCATTGCAATAGAGATGCATCTTTACGAGTGCAGCTTAAGAGAATCTATTCACAAGTAATGAATCAGTTTATAATCCTTGCATAAAGTTTGTGGCAAACTCAAATAGCGCCTTTGTTGATCTTATTGAAGTCATATTTTTTCAATCGTTTATAAAACTACTTTCCTTTTATTAATGCATATGCTGCACGTAAAACAGTCTGTTTTATCACTAATGGAACTGTTACGAAGAACAGTAATGTTTAAAACGAAGGCGTCTCAAAAGATTATCATCCATTGTATCATTCCATAAATTCAACTCTCATTACGCAAAAATAATTTATACATACAGATCTGCGTGATCTTATGAACTTTAGCTGCAAAAGAATATTTTATAACAAAACACGATTTAGATACGAGCACAAATTGGGTCGTCAGGTTCGTTGTGAATTGTATGCAACGGTTATAAGTAGATGCATTGTGAATAGATTCTCTGAAACTGTATTTCTTATGATGTATCTCTAATGGAGTGAAAAGCTAGCTCAGCGTTATTTTTTGGCTCAATAAATAGCTGGTCATCGTGATTAAGGTGAGAAACTAGCTTAGTATTGTTATTAGGGTAAAAAAATAGCTTGCTGTTGTTATTAGGGTCACTTTTTATTTCATCTATTCTGGATATCTTCTCTTCAAGTTTTGTATCTCAACAAATGGAGATTTTTTTCTCACGAACTATTGGATTTAGATAGACTTCGACACGTTCTATAAAAATGCCAGCGAGACCTTCGCTTGTTTTCTGAATGAAAATCGTGAAAAGTCTTGTTTTTCTCAAACAATACCTTTTCATTTGAATTTTATAAGAGTGTTGTTATTGGGGTCAAAAATTAGCTGACTGTCGTTATTAGGAAAACGGATCCTAATAACAACAGAAGCAGGTCATTATCGTAGGCTGCCGATTTCTTGGCCAGTACATTTCAGTGCAAAGTGATTGTTACACCATTTGAAAGAGGACACTCCCAAGATTATGCATATGTAAAAATATTTTTAATCGAGTGTAAACTAGTTGAGAACTGAATCAATCAAGACATGTTATGTTTTTAGTGTCGTTATTAGGGGCAATTACTCTATGTATCTAACCATGTATACACGTCTCCCTATTGTAGCCCGGCGTTAGACAAACATCATCCGATACAGGAGGAGCACCACATGATGAATATTGTGAAATTACTGTCATGTTTTTCATATTATGAAGCTACATAAGTAGAGATCCGAATGCTGCCGAATGACCTAATATATAATGTCCTGTGATTTTTATTACTAAAAGAAGATTATTTGTCGAAGCGAATCGTAATGTTGCTTGAATATTTTCAGGCCATATGGCATCAACAGCATATACTGGTATAGATCCTTGAGTACATTTCGAATTTCTATCATTTATTGAACATGATACATTTTCCCAATGAAATTATTGGATTGCACCAACTTGGCCACTCCGCCCCGATGAATCCGATCAATAACGAATGGTTTCATTGCAAAGTGATTCATTGAATTAATTTTTAGCACAAGGTGTAGCTGATGAACGAGGTAGAACAAGACGACCATTGATAGAAGCATTGGATGTTTGCCAAGCCGAAGGACTCGGCCAACAGGTCGACACATTTGCTACACAACGACAACGAGTCACTAGGAATAGAAAAACATCGAGCTTAATTTAGAATCCATCGGAAGATTATGCTGCAAAAAAGAACTTAAGAAATCTATCGGCGAGTACAAAGACTTGATTCACAATACTTGCGATCATAAACAACAAAATATATTCAATACCGTCCATCGTCATCTCCAATATTTCTTTCAAAGCATTACTGCAACTGTAAATTTGTTTTTGATATCATATAAAACGTGTCGAAGTAAAAAAGTCTTAGTCAGCCTTTTATTGACGTACAGGTAACATCGTTCTCTTGCAGTGCATCACATAAGCACATTTATGTCTTCATTTTCATTATCAACGCAATTATTTCGGCAAACATCAATATTCTCGGAATGCATACAGTCGTGCAAATTTTTTCTTTCATGTTATTCCACCGTTATTATCTATAAATCGACAGTCGTTTCTCTGCGCTACATGGTAATGAACAGTATCTAAGCAAGTGATTTGATTCTTTGGGTAGCGAGGAGTGAATTGTTGCTTTTTCCATCAGACAACTTGTAAATATCAAACGAAATTCATAAAGATTTGTGTTGTTATTGTTTTTTTGGTCGAAAGCTTCTTCTCTTTTATTTCTTTATCATCCTTGTTCTTTATATAGACACTATCAGAATCATGTAGGCGTGGGTGAGCGTGTATTGCTTATCTTCATTTACATCCACACACACTCAGATCTCTCATCGCATGACCACAACGATGATCGGCAACAATATTCGATCTCGATACGTCTACTTTGTAGTCTGATTTCAAATATAATTGTGCTCATTTTTAATTATCAATAAGTAAGCATGAATCACTCACTTATGAAAATTTATTCTATATCAGTTTAACGATGTATCCGAAACCTTCACCTGCATTGGCAGTAAAACAGTAGATGTCTTGCAAGGGCTTTCTTTGAGATATTTTGCACGTTTTGAGTATCAAAAATCAACTAGTTCTAGCAAGTGGTTAAAAATCGAAACACATTTCTTTACAATATAAATGATGCTGATCTATAATATGATTTGATGCCATATTTCGTATCGTATTTGGAACAAATAATTCAGCTTCAGATGAAAGTCTCAATACTTTTTCATCGAATGGAATATCTATGCACACATGAAGTGAAATAATAAATTGAGTAAAGGGAGAAAGCTGACGATCTTCAAAAAGTTGTACAATTGCCGTTGTTTCCTCAACTTTAGAGCCAAGTTCATATTTACTGGTGTGCAGACGTGCTCTATAAAATCTATGGTTAGTTAAACCGAGTATGAATAACTGTATGAGTTTTAATAGTGTGCTGAGCCAAGTCGTCCATATATGCAACAACATTATAGTGAGCAGTCATCAACCCAACAGATGACAGTTCATGTGACAAATGAACTACATCAGGTAAGAAATTCTCATCATTTAGGTCTAAATGCAACAACAACAACGTTAGCACCCAATCAAACAAGTAACGCTCGTCGGTAAGATTCGCTTAACTCTCGATTGAATTCAATCTTGTTATCGTCTGTTATCGTTTTCTGAGTTCTGCTTGGACAATTATTGTGCAGCACATGCACAGACGAAAATATGTCTGTGGTATTGCCAGTGATGACCATTTTGTAGAAGATTCGGATCTTTCTATTTTCCATTCTGAATTTCTCAGATATACTTAAGCAAACAGCTTGCAGTCGATTGTCATGATTGAATTAAACCCATACCCCAATTTCCTCAGATCGTAGTCCGACGATGCTTGTTCTGTCTCTCAAATTTTTACTTTTGTCTAAAACTATTTATATTTCCGGATCCAACTTACAATAGCTAGATGTCGAAAACAACTGACCATCGATTTTTTGGCCGATGTTCTTTTGACCCTGACACATACAAACTTATTTTATTTCATATGATCCTCCCTTCAGTCGAAGGAATCAGACAGAACGAGCAAAACCTATATAGAAATACGAAAGACCCTTTATAGTTTGATGATCTCGGTAGTGTGGGCTATGACCGAGACCGCAAGACATAAACTTTCTCTTAAATTTTTCACACTTTTCAGCGTATAGTATTTTATTTACATAATTTCCTCGTTGAAGTAATCAAAATAGAAATATTTTAAAAAATACCTCGAAACAAAATACAAAAAACATACTTCTCCATAGCTTTGCTTCTTTATAAAAAAAATCGTTATTTTCTTTGAAAAACGCCTTATCTAGTAAAAGAAAAATTTTTTAAAAAATTTCCCAAACTAATAATGTCATTCGATTCTTCGCCGCCCCTGAAAACCTTTCGTCAAAGTTTATTAAATGTGTTTCTTTTACCTTAATGTTTTTTGACCTTGACACACACATACAATCGTGTTTTATTTCATATGATCCTTCTTTTAGTCGAAGGATTAAGAAATCGAAAGAGAAATCGTCGACATCGTGCTAA